AGTGGTTATGCTTGTAGAGCCTCCAGAAAATGGTCATTTTGTGCTATTTTGGTCATTTTTGGCCTGTTTTAGACAAAACAAGCCATTTTCCAAAGCCTCTACAGACCTAACCACTCAGTATTTTTGACTAATTATTTGATAGGCTCATTCAGGTTGACCAGAGGTATGTTCTGGCTACCTCTCCAGTTAGTACATTTTTTTTTTTTCAGATGCCAAAAATGGCCTCCAGAATAAAAACCTTCTCAAGGCTCCAGCTTTCACTGAAATTAGTCCATACCAAGGGAAGTGTAACACAACTACATAATGTAAAAGAATACACAAATACATTTGAGGTACAATAGATTTTTAGAAAGAACCAGAAAAATGAACCAACCTTCATTCTTTTTGCACTCAACTGTAGACGACAACCATATACAACCAACCTCTGTGACATAACATAACACTCCTTTCTTGGAAAATAGAATTGAGAAAAGTCGAAAAAAGGCCATAACAATTCATCTCATCAAGTTAGAAATAATCAGCGACCATAGAACTATTGGAATTAGTACTAGAAAGATATATACAAAATTATAAAGCAGGAGAATGAAAATTGGGGGAGGAGATATGAGAATACTAAGGTATATACAGTAATACTTGACCATTCTGGAGAAAATCCAGCACATCCAAATTCTGATCCAAAATTGACTGTAAAGGTTCCCTAAAGGTTACAGATGGCACAGGGGCTGGTGTTCTCTGGTATTTGTCAGTTAAGATGCGTCTTTGAGTAACTGACCACCCACAGACAGAATCCCCTCATTCTCCTCCACAGTTTTGGCCTTTTTTTGAGGTCTGTTACCTCCCTGTAAGTTCTGTGCTCTTGACTGAATGTACTTGCTTTGTTTAGGCATGATTCCAGCCTGCTGAGGAGGGTTTGTGTGTCTGCCTCCCTCAAATTGACACATTGCAAAGTATTTTTGCTTCTTTTCCCTCAAATTTCGGTTTACCACTCCACTTTTTTTTTGTACCCCATTAAAGGCTTAAAATGGAAATGTCACATTTTGCACATGATGTTGGGGGGGTATGGCTGTTGTCTACCTTAAACACCACTTTCCAGCACAAAAAGAACACAAAAAACGAATATGTTTTGCAAAAGATACTTCATCTTCTTTGTTGTTGCAGTTTTTGTAGGTCAACCAATCTCTGGACAATGGTGTACTTTCTTCTCATTCCAGTCTTATTTTGATCATAATGATTCATATACAATAAGGAATGTTCTTTTTATTGAAATCTAGTATATTAGTAGTTTCAGGTTATCTCAGGACAGTTCAGGTTGCCCTTGGGTTGCCCCAGGACATCCTGTGATGCCTTGTGACACCCTGAGAAAAAGCTTACAAACATGTTTGTCCCAGGAAAAAAGTGATTTTCCTGATGAATGTTTTTTGGTCTAGGTGAGCACAATGTAATTTCCCCTGTTTACATTCTTTCAGTTCAGCATGCTGGCTTACCTTGGATGTTTACCATCTCTTGTCAGAATCCCTGCTGGTGGATCACTGACAGCTGTCCAATGGCTATTGATGGCTGTGGTAGTTGCCCTATTGCGGTCTGTGTGTTCTTCAAAAGTATAGTTATTTAATAATTACTCATGTTCCACAGATTCCTCAAATATGGCATGACTACATGCTTGACCCAGCAGCTGCGAGAAGGCAGTGTGAGGCTGCAAATAAAGCACACATCAACAAGAAGGTATGTGCTGCTGAGATGAGGAAGAGAAAGCTGTGGTGAGGAAGTCTACAGCTGAACAGAGGCAAGTGCAGGACAATGCATGAAATTTACAACAACAGCAAACATCATCTAGAATCCTGGATAGTACAAGTTCTACAAATTGTGTGGCCATGAAACATTCATGTCAAGCTGCTGATGAAGACAAAGACCTTCCCTCATGTCTTCACCCTGACGATCCTGCTAACTTTCTTAAACTAGGTCAAGCCCTTCACCTCTTCCTGGCATGAGAAATAAGTGATACCCAAATTGACATGGCTGATGGGCTGTTGCAAGAGTACTGCCAGGAGCTTGTTGTGGTGAGTTTTTTTTTCAACACCTTAGCCTACCCATTAACAATTTGTGGTGCATCTAGCTTTACAGACCAGATGTAATCAAGCCTAATCATCATTATGTGACCCAGACCTCAGAATGTCTTCACTTCTTTGGCCCAATGCATGGATTTTGATGTTTTTGTTTGAACATCTAAACAAAGTCTTGAAAAGTTACAAGACCAACAATCATGGTGGCAGGGAGCTTGAAACAACCTCCTTTTGAGAGTTTCATTGTACTGTAGCCACATCACATATGGTACATATCGGATTTCACCAGGTTATATCATATTACAATCAATATTATTTTAGGTGGCACAAGCTGTGCATAGTGATCAACCAGATTAATTTCAATCAGCAGTTCAGCACATGTTTGTTGCAACAGTGGACGATCGAGATACTGTTCAGGCTCTTGCTCGTGATCTTGAGGAACACCACAAGAATGGTAAGCATCTGCTGCTCATTGAAGCCACAGTTTACTTATACACTTTCTTTCAAGATGGTGTAATCTTCTCGCTACATCCTTGTTTTGAGAGGAGAGAGATGGAAAGTGGCCTTTATGCTGCAGTTTTAAGCCATGTTTCAGTTCTTTTTCCGCATCTCAAGCTATGGTCATTGATTGCAATGAACCCCACCTCTGACTTGATTCCCTTGATGAAACAGGCTTTTTTTTTTTTTTTTTTTGACTATGCTGTTGTGAATCAACATTGCTACCTAGCCTCCAAACATTGATATGGAGTGTAACAATACACCCATAAAAATGCGAATTTTAGCAAATTCTCCTATAAAACCTGCTATAGTAGAATACAATCACTTTGATCATAAGGGTCGTTAGACACAGCCTGGTCTAGTTGATTAAAGTCTACATCTGAGAAATGTGCATGTCTTAAGACAGTAGGCATTGTGGTCGGCATGTGAATGGACCACTTCAATATATTAGAAGTCTAATAAAAAGACTACACTACCATGAAATAGTACACTACAAAGTGTTCTAGAGTAAAGACACCTCAGCACAGGGTGTTGGAGTTTACACCAAACCCAGGTCTCATCTTACTATGGATTAAAAGATATTAATTCTAAGATAAACACATGAGCATAGAAACTTGACACACACCTAATGCAAGAAGTCATTCAGTCACGTGCTACAAAGCATGATCCAAGAAGTCATGTGGCAAGACGCATCACATACCATGGCATCATTGACCTAAGAAAACTTGGCTTAGTGAAATATTCCAAAGTCTACCAAGAAGAAAACTTTTAATGATCTGTCATGCAGTCTGAAGACCCATGTGCAGCATCTAATAATAGAGAGAAAATCACTAAGCGGACTGTTCACCTCAGATGAACTGATCGTGAAAACTGTTTACAGTGATTCCCACATATGCATCAATACTGATGCATTGCGTCGCCACAGTAGAGAAAACACTACAAAAACTTAAAAGAAGTCAGCTCAGCTGTGCCACTAAAAACCTTTACTAAAAACCAGTATTAATTTGTCCAACCTCTTGGACAACACATGACCATGTAAATATAAATAGAAAACATAGCAATACTTAAAAGGAGGATGCGTGCAGGCTGAAACACAAGGAATTATCCCCTGCGTTGACCAGCTGTCGCACTCCTAGTAGCACCTGAGGTAGTGGATAAGTTTGTAATCAATTTAAAGGACTTTTCTTCACAGACATAAGTAATGTGTGCCTGGAACCAGTGTGTTAAGTGGGGACCACTAAGCTTTTGTAAGGTTGTCTCATCAGTTAGTAAGAGAGCTCTCTATTACTACTGAGGAATCCAAGTGAGCATGCTTGAAGCGTCTTTAAGACTAGTTTGGATTGAATCAGAGGCATAATAAAAGCTCATGGGAGTTACAAAAGTCTATAAGGCACAGTTTCCTTGTCAGTTCTTTGTATACTGTTAGAACACAATCCCAGAACACCGAGGTAGTCCCAATAAAAGCCATTTCCCTTCGAAGACTAGTGTTTAAAGGTTCAGTCCATAGGACCGCAAAAAACCGGTGGACTGAACTGAACCGGACCATGGTCCGGTCTTTTTTTCGGTTGCAGTTGCCCCAATTTGGGGTTGGTCCGGTTGCCGGTTGCCTCATTTCGAAAATATATTAAAACCGTTTGAAGACCGGTTTTGATCGGTTGCAACCGGTTAAACGGTCACGTGCGTTACATAACCTTGTAACCACGTTTATTACCTTTTATTGGGTTTTTGTTTCATCAAAAACGGTTAAGAATTGAGAAAGATATAACCAAATCCATATTTTACCTGAGTCTCTACGAGAAGTAATTCGGTTTCAGTCATAGCTATGTCAAATCTTCATTAAATCTCTTCAAAATTGGTAGAATGACGGGTATTTACATGCTTTACTATTTTATATAACCCATTTATTTTTCAGAGTAATAATAGTCGAGATACAAATGGTTTATATTGGTATAATAAATTATATGCAAAAAAACCGGTCTGGATCGGTCTGAACCGGCTCCATAGACCGCAAAAGACCGGTCCTATGTGGTTCAGTTCGGTTCCCTCAATATCTGGGTCAGTCCTAGACCGGTTGTGGTCCACGGTTGCGCGTTTTGGGGGCAAAAAACCAGACTGAACTGAACTTGCGAACACTATCGAAGACTATTAAGTTTTGAATTCTATACTTGTGCCTGCACATAAAAACAATACCATTTGCTCCAAAAGGTCTACTGGACTTAGACAAGTGATATAAAATATACAGAATCATTTCCCCAAACTTCTACTTTAAGTTCTAACAAAACAAGTGTGGTAATTCCATTTACTGTACGAACCCTAACTCAAAGCACCAAGCACATACCTGTGGTGATAAGTGTTTAAGGTGTTAGTGTGTGTGTGTGTGTGTTGTATAGGTGTTCATGCATCTTGTCAGCGTGTCCAATTGCACTTTCCTCACTCCCAAGTGTCACGGTCTTCTCAACATGCAAGGAACTCTATGAACTCATTGGTTGAAGTTTTCATTTCGGAAGCAGGAATCCCTGGGTTGGCAAGCTCATGGACTTGATACACGTCAATCAGGGCCCTGATCTGACGTTTACTCTAGGTCACTTTTGTTGGTTTTGTCCACTTCGAATGGACCTGAGTCAAACCATTTGGAGTTCCTAGTGCATTTTTTCTTCCATGTTCTTGAAAGCTACTACTTATGTTGGTATCAGTGCTTCTTTCGGAGTAAGGCTGTGGCACAATGGTCAATACTTGACCAATAGTGAGCTGGGTCCACCAAGCCTCTTTCCACTCCAATTCCTCAAGAATCACATTGTGTCGCATGACATTGCCACCATCGCTACCTTAGACATTCAGGTAAGTTCATCATTATTCTTTTCCACTAACATCACTAAGGCATTGCACAGAATTGATGAATAGCAGCTTATGCCTCATCTATACTTGTAACATTAACCTGGTTTGCTTGACTGTCCCATTCTCTCCATTCCTTCAGTGCAGCCAAGTCTTCCTGGTCAAGCTTGCAATCCTCAATCTCAATAACTTCAAGCTTGACGCCCTTTGGCTCAAGACTTACAATAATGTTTTGGTTGCCAGATGCAACCATCCAGGCCTCATCCAACACAGAGCGAGGAACATGACACTTTGGCTTGTCAATGTTGGTGTTCTCCTGGAAGCCATGGAACTGACCATGTGTTGAGGTTTCACCAGCATCCCATGCAAACCTGTCCAGTGCATGCATAGTATAGTCAGCTGACCTATAATTTTTTTTAGGTCATTCAAGCCAAAGAAGACTTGCATAAACAGACCTTCTTGTTCCTCCATTGGAGATGGGGAACTTCAAGCATGGTCTTACTGTGACTGCAATATTACCCACCTTTCCTTTGACACTAACCCAGGGCCATCATCTTCAGAGGACATATAGTCATAGGCCACAAAATCACTAATTCCTGAGACTAGATGCACTTTCTCAAACTCTGAAACATGACCCATCCCACAGGCAAGCTTGGTTTTTTTCCAACCATGGTGGTGGCTGTTCTCAACTTTTCTCTTTCCCCTTAGCCAGAGGTCTTATCAGTGCCCCCCTAATTCCTGCTGGAATCCAGTGGAATAAAATTTGGCAGGAAGGCCTGCTATTTTTATCATTGTGGTGTTTTATTATTCCAGCAGAATTCAGGCATTCCAGAGTTGAGACCTGAATGTTCTGTGGAATTGGCAGGAACAGATATGCAACAGATTCTGGTTGTTTGTTTGTTTATTTTACTCCTCTGACCAAACAAAGGCAATGTTACCAAACAAATGTAACTGTCCTTTCTACCACCAACAATGACGAACATGACCATGCCAGACCACCCAACAACGGCCACAACACGACAACGTGCCATGTACAACACAAACATGCCAGGTGGACAACAGAACATGAACATGCAGGTGGATGATGAGGTGATGTGGCAATGAGGCAAGCAGGTGACGTGGCAACAGGACGACGACAAATTACATTGTTGTTCATCATCTCTGATTTCATGAGTCCATCCCCCCTTTCCATTGCTCACAGGAGAGTTCCAGGTGCCATGTTGCAATGGGCAATGTGGCAACCAGATGATGAACAATGTTTGTCATCTTGTTCAACCAACGGACGACCCATGCAATAACCACCCACAACCACACACCTCCCACTACACCACCACCACCCCATGCAACACACCGACAATGGGCAAACCAACTACATACGACAACCACCACCACCACACTCACTACCACTACCACACCACGACAACCACCTCATTGCCACATTGCCTGATGGTGACGTAGTGCCAGACGACAACAACAGTGATGTGGCACCAGATGACAATGACAACAAATATTGTCATTGTTTGTCCAGGCAGCAGGAATATCACCTGCTGCCTCGTGTTTTTCATTAATTCCTGCAAACGACAACCTGTTGGAGGTCTTAGCAGTGCCCCCCCTATTCCTGCAGGAATCTGGTCATTCCGGTGGAATGGAATTTAGCAGAAGGCCCTGCTAAATTATTTATTCTGGTGTTTTCCATTCCAGTGGATTCCGGAATGTACACCGGAATGTTCCCCAGAATGGGCAGGAATAGCATTCCCTGGAATGGGCAGGAACTGCAATCTGGTTATTTTATTGTTTTTTTATGTATTATAGTTTGTTTATTTCCAATGCTCACCAAACACAACCACAATGCTTATTTGGCAATCACCAAACACAGCCACCTTCTTCCTCCCACCACCACCAACCATCGTCACCATCGCTCTTCGTGACCAGCAGGGTCCCCTCCAGTGGCTGCCATCTGAATTTGTCACCCACGCCTACCACAATGCGCCACATCCACATCACCAACTGAACAAGTGCCAATGCGACAGATGCAACAATAGGATGGGGTGTTCCAGGTGCCACATAGCCGAGCGATGTGGCAACTTGACGACGAGTGACGTCATTCATTGTCCATCGTCGTCTCTATTGCAGGTGAGTACCCCCCACCAATACTTATCACTCCTCCACCTATTCCTACTGGATTTCAACATTCTTTCCAAAAAAGCATTTTCACATTCCCCTCCTACTGGACTCCTACTGAACTCCAATTGAACTTAAACAAAGTGAATACAATGTTTCAGAGATGGGATTCCTACTGGAGTAACCACTTTCTATCAATATTTTATGAAGTCAGACCTTAAGCCACCTTAGAAATTCATACAAAGCTGATATTTGAGCATAGAATATTATATTGATAACTATAGACATAATTATATACAAAAAGTATACTACTAATCTAATGTGTC